AGTGTATAGTGTATAGTATAGTGTAGTGTATAGTGTAGTAGTGTATAGTGTAGTGTAGTGTATAGTGTAGTAGTGTATAGTGTAGTAGTGTATAGTGTAGTGTATAGTGTAGTGTATAGTGTAGTGTATAGTGTAGTGTATAGTGTAGTAGTGTATAGTGTAGTAGTGTAGTGTATAGTGTGGTAGTGTATAGTGTAGTAGTGTATAGTGTAGTAGTGTATAGTGTAGTAGTGTATAGTGTAGTAGTGTATAGTGTAGTAGTGTATAGTGTAGTAGTGTATAGTTTAGTAGTGTATAGTGTAGTAGTGTATAGTGTAGTAGTGTATAGTGTAGTAGTGTATAGTGTAGTAGTGTATAGTGTAGTAGTGTATAGTGTAGTAGTGTATAGTGTAGTAGTGTATAGTGTAGTGTGTAGTGTAGTAGTGTATAGTGTAGTAGTGTATAGTGTAGTGTATAGTGTAGTAGTGTATAGTGTAGTGTAGTGTATAGTGTAGTGTATAGTGTAGTAGTGTATAGTGTAGTGTATAGTGTAGTGTATAGTGTAGTAGTGTATAGTGTAGTAGTGTAGTGTATAGTGTGGTAGTGTATAGTGTAGTAGTGTAGTAGTGTATAGTGTAGTAGTGTATAGTGTAGTAGTGTATAGTGTAGTAGTGTATAGTGTAGTAGTGTATAGTGTAGTAGTGTATAGTGTAGTAGTGTATAGTTTAGTAGTGTATAGTGTATAGTGTAGTAGTGTATAGTGTAGTAGTGTATAGTGTAGTGTATAGTGTAGTGTAGTAGTCCATAGTGTAGTGTATAGTGTAGTGTAGTAGTGTAGTGTATAGTGTAGTGTAGTAGTGTGTATAGTATAGTAGTGTATAGTGTAGTAGTGTATAGTGTAGTAGTGTATAGTGTAGTGTATAGTGTAGTAGTGTATAGTGTAGTAGTGTATAGTGTAGTAGTGTATAGTGTAGTGTATAGTGTAGTAGTGTATAGTGTAGTAGTGTATAGTGTAGTAGTGTATAGTGTAGTAGTGTATAGTGTAGTGTATAGTGTAGTAGTGTATAGTGTAGTAGTGTATAGTGTAGTAGTGTATAGTGTAGTGTATAGTGTAGTAGTGTATAGTGTAGTAGTGTATAGTGTAGTAGTGTATAGTGTACTAGTGTATAGAGTAGTAGTGTATAGTATAGTAGTGTATAGTATAGTAGTGTATAGTGTAGTAGTGTATAGTGTAGTAGTGTATAGTGTAGTAGTGTATAGTGTAGTAGTGTATAGTGTAGTAGTGTATAGTGTAGTAGTGTAGTGTATAGTGTAGTAGTGTAGTAGTGTATAGTGTAGTGTAGTGTATAGTGTAGTAGTGTATAGTGTAGTAGTGTATAGTGTAGTAGTGTATAGTGTAGTAGTGTATAGTGTAGTAGTGTAGTGTATAGTGTAGTAGTGTATAGTGTAGTAGTGTATAGTGTAGTAGTGTATAGTGTAGTGTAGTGTATAGTGTAGTAGTGTATAGTGTAGTAGTGTATAGTGTAGTAGTGTATAGTGTAGTAGTGTATAGTGTAGTAGTGTAGTGTATAGTGTAGTAGTGTATAGTGTAGTAGTGTATAGTGTAGTAGTGTATAGTGTAGTGTATAGTGTATAGTGTAGTAGTGTATAGTGTATAGTGTAGTGTATAGTGTAGTAGTGTATAGTGTATAGTGTAGTGTATAGTGTAGTAGTGTATAGTGTATAGTGTAGTAGTGTATAGTGTAGTAGTGTATAGTGTAGTGTATAGTGTAGTAGTGTATATTGTATAGTGTAGTGTATAGTGTAGTAGTGTATAGTGTATAGTGTAGTGTATAGTGTAGTAGTGTATAGTGTAGTGTAGTGTATAGTGTAGTGTATAGTGTAGTGTATAGTGTAGTGTATAGTGTAGTGTATAGTGTAGTGTAGTAGTGTATAGTGTAGTGTAGTGTAGTAGTGTATGTGTAGTAGTGTATAGTGTAGTGTATAGTGTATAGTGTAGTAGTGTATAGTGTAGTGTAGTGTATAGTGTAGTGTATAGTGTAGTGTATAGCGTATAGTGTAGTAGTGTATAGTGTAGTGTAGTGTATAGTGTAGTAGTGTATAGTGTAGTAGTGTATAATGTAGTGTATAGTGTAGTGTATAGTGTAGTGTATAGTGTAGTAGTGTATAGTGTAGTGTAGTGTATAGTGTAGTAGTGTATAGTGTAGTAGTGTATAGTGTAGTAGTGTATAGTGTAGTAGTGTATAGTGTAGTGTATAGTGTAGTAGTGTATAGTGTATAGTATAGTGTAGTGTATAGTGTAGTAGTGTATAGTGTAGTGTAGTGTATAGTGTAGTAGTGTATAGTGTAGTAGTGTATAGTGTAGTGTATAGTGTAGTAGTGTATAGTGTAGTAGTGTATAGTGTAGTGTATAGTGTAGTAGTGTATAGTGTAGTAGTGTAGTGTATAGTGTGGTAGTGTATAGTGTAGTAGTGTAGTAGTGTATAGTGTAGTAGTGTATAGTGTAGTAGTGTATAGTGTAGTAGTGTATAGTGTAGTAGTGTATAGTGTAGTAGTGTATAGTTTAGTAGTGTATAGTGTAGTAGTGTATAGTGTAGTAGTGTATAGTGTAGTAGTGTAAAGTGTAGTAGTGTATAGTGTAGTAGTGTATAGTGTAGTAGTGTATAGTGTAGTGTGTAGTGTAGTAGTGTATAGTGTAGTAGTGTATAGTGTAGTAGTGTATAGTGTAGTAGTGTATAGTGTAGTAGTGTACAGTGTAGTGTAGTAGTGTATAGTGTAGTAGTGTATAGTGTAGTAGTGTATAGTGTAGTGTATAGTGTAGTAGTGTATAGTGTAGTAGTGTATAGTGTAGTGTATAGTGTAGTAGTGTATAGTGTAGTAGTATATAGTGTAGTAGTGTATAGTGTAGTAGTGTATAGTGTAGTAGTGTATAGTGTAGTAGTGTAGTGTAGTGTATATTGTATAGTGTAGTGTATAGTGTAGTAGTGTATAGTGTAGTGTAGTGTATAGTGTAGTAGTGTATAGTGTAGTAGTGTATAGTGTAGTGTATAGTGTAGTGTATAGTGTAGTGTATAGTGTAGTGTATAGTGTAGTAGTGTATAGTGTAGTAGTGTAGTGTATAGTGTAGTAGTGTATAGTGTAGTAGTGTAGTAGTGTATAGTGTAGTAGTGTATAGTGTAGTAGTGTATAGTGTAGTAGTGTATAGTGTAGTAGTGTATAGTGTAGTAGTGTATAGTGTAGTAGTGTATAGTGTAGTAGTGTATAGTTTAGTAGTGTATAGTGTATAGTGTAGTAGTGTATAGTGTAGTAGTGTAGTAGTGTATAGTGTAGTAATGTATAGTGTAGTAGTGTATAGTGTAGTAGTGTATAGTGTAATAGTGTATAGTGTAGTGTATAGTGTAGTAGTGTATAGTGTAGTAGTGTATAGTGTAGTGTATAGTGTAGTAGTGTATAGTGTAGTAGTGTATAGTGTAGTAGTGTATAGTGTAGTAGTGTATAGTGTAGTAGTGTAGTAGTGTACAGTGTAGTGTAGTAGTGTATAGTGTAGTAGTGTATAGTGTAGTAGTGTATAGTGTAGTAGTGTATAGTGTAGTGTATAGTGTAGTAGTGTATAGTGTAGTAGTGTATAGTGTAGTAGTGTATAGTGTAGTAGTGTATAGTGTAGTAGTGTATAGTGTAGTAGTGTACAGTGTAGTGTAGTGTATAGTGTAGTGTATAGTGTAGTGTATAGTGTAGTAGTGTACAGTGTAGTGTAGTAGTGTATAGTGTAGTAGTGTATAGTGTAGTAGTGTATAGTGTAGTAGTGTATAGTGTAGTAGTGTAGTGTAGTAATGTATAGTGTAGTAGTGTATAGTGTAGTAGTGTATAGTGTAGTAGTGTATAGTGTAGTAGTGTATAGTGTAGTAGTGTATAGTGTAGTAGTGTATAGTATAGTAGTGTATAGTGTAGTAATGTATAGTGTAGTAGTGTATAGTGTAGTAGTGTATAGTGTAGTAGTGTATAGTGTAGTAGTGTATAGTGTAGTGTATAGTGTAGTATTGTATAGTGTAGTAGTGTATAGTATAGTAGTAGCGTGTAGTGTAGTAGTGTATAGTATAGTAGTGTATAGTATAGTGTAGTAGTGTATAGTGTAGTAGTGTATAGTGTAGTGTATAGTGTAGTATTGTATAGTGTAGTAGTGTATAGTATAGTAGTAGTGTGTAGTGTAGTAGTGTATAGTATAGTAGTGTATAGTATAGTGTAGTGTATAGTATAGTAGTGTATAGTATAGTGTAGTGTATAGTATAGTAGTGTATAGTATAGTGTAGTAGTGTATAGTGTAGTAGTGTATAGTTTAGTAGTGTATAGTGTAGTAGTGTATAGTGTAGTAGTGTATAGTGTAGTGTAGTAGTGTATAGTGTAGTAGTGTATAGTGTAGTAGTGTATAGTGTAGTAGTGTATAGTTTAGTAGTGTATAGTTTAGTAGTGTAGTAGTGTATAGTGTAGTAGTGTATAGTATAGTAGTGTATAGTATAGTGTAGTAGTGTATAGTGTAGTAGTGTATAGTATAGTAGTAGCGTGTAGTGTAGTAGTGTATAGTATAGTAGTGTATAGTATAGTGTAGTAGTGTATAGTGTAGTAGTGTATAGTGTAGTGTATAGTGTAGTATTGTATAGTGTAGTAGTGTATAGTATAGTAGTAGTGTGTAGTGTAGTAGTGTATAGTATAGTAGTGTATAGTATAGTGTAGTGTATAGTATAGTAGTGTATAGTATAGTGTAGTGTATAGTATAGTAGTGTATAGTATAGTGTAGTAGTGTATAGTGTAGTAGTGTATAGTTTAGTAGTGTATAGTGTAGTAGTGTATAGTGTAGTAGTGTATAGTGTAGTGTAGTAGTGTATAGTGTAGTAGTGTATAGTGTAGTAGTGTATAGTGTAGTAGTGTATAGTTTAGTAGTGTATAGTTTAGTAGTGTAGTAGTGTATAGTGTAGTAGTGTATAGTATAGTAGTGTATAGTATAGTGTAGTAGTGTATAGTGTAGTAGTGTATAGTTTAGTAGTGTATAGTGTAGTAGTGTATAGTGTAGTAGTGTAGTGTATAGTGTAGTGTAGCAGCACGCTGCTACCACCCCGAGGCGTAGTCCTTGACCACGGTGGGGTCCACGTAGTCCTCCAACATCTGCGTGAAGTTCAGCGGCGGGCGCCCAACGTCAACCGTGACGTTGGTGTAGAGGGCGTGGAGTGAGCGGTGCACCAAGTCGTACTGGAGCGAGTTGATGCCATCCTGCAGCATCGTCTCGTTGGTGAACAGGATCATGGTGAACCTTGTGGGGGTGGGGGTGATTGTTGATTTGCGATGCGCCAACACGCGCTACGGTTAGCGAGGGTTTGGCTACGTGCGTTGCGGGAGAAGTTCACCGTAATAGGTAAACGCGCAGATACACACACAGAGACTCACACAGACACACACAGACACACACAGACAGAGACACACAAACACACACAGACACACACAGACACACACAGACAGACACACACAGACACACACAGACACATACAGATACACACACAGACACACACACAGACACACACAGACACACACAGACAGACACACACAGACAGACACACACAGACACACACAGACACATACAGACACACACACAGACACACACACAGACACACACACAGACACTCACACAGACACTCACACAGACACACACACAGACACTCACACAGACACTCACACACACACACACAGACACACACACACAGACACACAGACACGCACACATAGACACACACACACAAACACACACACAGACACACACACACAGACACACACACAGACACACACACAGACACACACACACAGACACACACACATAGACACACACACAGACACACACACAAACATACACAGACACACACACACACACAGACACACACACAGACACACACTACGCTATACACTGCACTATACATTACACTACAGACTACACTACACAAATATACACAACACTATACACACTACACTACACATTACACTACACTACAAACTACACAACACACTACACTACACAATACACATTACACTACACTATACATTACTACACTATACGCAACACACTACTACACAATACACTACACACTACACTATACACTACACTACACACTACACTACTACACTATACACTACTACACTACACTATACACTACACTATACACTACTACACTATACACTACTACACTATACACTGCACTATACACTACATTATACAGTACATTATACACTATACAATACACTACAATACACTACACTATACACTATATAATATACACTACACTATGCACTACACTTATATACACTACACTATACACTACACTACTACACACTACACTATACACTACACTATACACTACATTACACACTACACTACACACTACACCATACACTACACTCTACACTACACTATACACTACACTATACACTACACTATCCACTACACTACACTACACACTATACACTACACTACACACTACACTATACACTACACTACTACACTATACACTACTACACTACACTATACACTACTACACTATACACTACTACACTATACACTACTACACTATACACTACTACACTATACACTACACTATACACTACTACACTATACACTACTACACTATACACTACTACACTATACACTACACTATACACTACACTATACACTACTACACTATACACTACACTATACACTACACTATACACTACACACTACACTATACACTACACTACTATACACTACACTATACACTACTATACACTACACTATACACTACACTATACACTATACACTACACTATACACTACACTATACACTACTACATACTACACTACTACATACTACACTACTACACTATACACTACACTATACACTACTAAACTATACACTACACTATACACTACTACACTATACACTACTACATACTACACTATACACTACTACACTACTACACTATACACTACACTATACACTACTAAACTATACACTACACTATACACTACACTATACACTATACACTACTACACTATACACTACACTATACACTACTACACTACACACTACACTACACTACTACACTATACACTACTACACTTCACACTACACTACACTATACACTACACTATACACTACTACACTATACACTACTACACTATACACTACTACACTATACACTACTACACTATACACTACTACACTATACACTACACTATATAGTACACTATACACTACTACACTATACACTACTACACTATACACTACACTATACATTACTACACTATACACTACTACACTACACTATACACTACACTATACACTACTACACTATACACTACTACACTATACACTACTACACTATACACTACTACACTATACACTACACTATACACTACTACACTATACACTACTACACTATACACTACACTATACACTACTACACTATACACTACACTATACACTACACTATACACTACACTATACACTACACTATACACTACACTATACACTACTACACTACACTATACACTACTACACTATACACTACACTATACACTACTACACTATACACTACACTATACACTACACTATACACTACTACACTATACACTACTACACTTCACACTACACTACACTATACACTACACTATACACTACTACACTATACACTACTACACTATACACTACTACACTATACACTACTACACTATACACTACTACACTATACACTACACTATATAGTACACTATACACTACTACACTATACACTACTACACTATACACTACACTATACATTACTACACTATACACTACTACACTACACTATACACTACACTATACACTACTACACTATACACTACTACACTATACACTACTACACTATACACTACTACACTATACACTACACTATACACTACTACACTATACACTACTACACTATACACTACACTATACACTACTACACTATACACTACACTATACACTACACTATACACTACACTATACACTACACTATACACTACACTATACACTACTACACTACACTATACACTACTACACTATACACTACACTATACACTACTACACTATACACTACACTATACACTACACTATACACTACACTATACACTACTACACTACACTATACACTACTACACTATACACTACACTATACACTACTACACTATACACTACACTATACACTACTACACTATACACTACACTATACACTACTACACTACACTATACACTACTACACTATACACTACACTATACACTACTACACTACACACTACACTATATACTACACTATACACTACTACACTATACACTACTACACTATACACTACACTATACACTACTACACTATACACTACACTCTACACTACACTATACACTACACTATACACTACACTATACACTACTACACTATACACTACTACACTATACACTACACTATACACTACTACACTATACACTACACTATACACTACACTATACACTACACTATACACTACACTATACACTACACTATACACTACTACACTACACTATACACTACTACACTATACACTACACTATACACTACTACACTATACACTACACTATACACTACACTATACACTACTACACTATACACTACTACACTATACACTACTACACTATACACTACACTATACACTACACTATACACTACACTATACACTACACTATACACTACACTATACACTACTACACTACACTATACACTACTACACTATACACTACACTATACACTACTACACTATACACTACACTATACACTACACTATACACTACTACACTATACACTACTACACTATACACTACTACACTATACACTACACTATACACTACACTATATGTCTCACCGTCTGGGATTGCGAGCGTTGTTGGGATCCTTGGTGTGTTTGATCATCCGGTACTTGCCAATGCGTAGCCTGGGTCGGTGAATCTCCATGCCGCTCATTACCACCCTGAGGGGTTTCAAGGAGGTTGCGAATCACACGTGGGCTTAGTTAGTGGGTGGGTGAGTGGGTGGGTGGGTGGGTTGGTGAGTGAGTGGGTGGGTGAGTGTGTGGGTGAGTGAGTGGGCTTAGTTAGTGAGTGGGTGAGTAGTGGGTGAGTGTGTGAGTTAGTGAGTGGGTGGGTTGGTGAGTGGGTGGGTGGGTGAGTGAGTGGGTGGGTGAGTGAGTGTGTGAGTGAGTGGGTGGGTGGGTGAGTGAGTGAGTGGGTGGGTGAGTGAGTGGGTGGGTGAGTGAGTGGGCTTAGTGAGTGAGTGGGTGAGTGAGTGGGTGGGTGGGTGGGTTGGTGAGTGAGTGGGTGAGTGAGTGGGTGGGTGAGTGTGTGAGTGAGTGGGTGGGTGGGTGAGTGAGTGTGTGGGTGGGTGAGTGAGTGGGCTTAGTGAGTGAGTGGGTGAGTGAGTGGGTGGGTGGGTGGGTTGGTGAGTGAGTGGGTGAGTGAGTGGGTGGGTGAGTGTGTGAGTGAGTGGGTGGGTGGGTGAGTGAGTGAGTGGGTGGGTGAGTGAGTGGGCTTAGTGAGTGAGTGGGTGAGTGAGTGGGTGGGTGAGTGGGTGAGTGGGTGGGTGAGTCTGTGAGTGGGTGAGTGGGTGAGTGAGTGAGTTAGTCAGTGAGTGAGTTAGTCAGTGAGTGAGTTTGTGAGTGAGTGAGTGGGTGAGTGGGTGAGTGAGTCAGTGAGTGAGTGGGTGAGTGGCTGAGTGAGTGAGTGAGTCAGTGAGTGAGTGTGTGAGTGAGTGGGTGGGTGGGTGAGTGAGTGAGTGGGTGGGTGAGTGAGTGGGTGGGTGAGTGAGTGGGCTGAGTGAGTGAGTGGGTGAGTGAGTGGGTGGGTGGGTGGGTTGGTGAGTGAGTGGGTGAGTGAGTGGGTGGGTGAGTGTGTGAGTGAGTGGGTGGGTGGGTGAGTGAGTGGGTGGGTGGGTGAGTGAGTGGGCTTAGTGAGTGAGTGGGTGAGTGAGTGGGTGGGTGGGTGGGTTGGTGAGTGAGTGGGTGAGTGAGTGAGTGTGTGTGTGTGTGAGTGAGTGGGTGAGTGGGTGAGTGAGTGAGTGGGTGGGTGAGTGAGTGGGCTTAGTGAGTGAGTGGGTGAGTGAGTGGGTGGGTGAGTGGGTGAGTGGGTGGGTGAGTCTGTGAGTGGGTGAGTGGGTGAGTGAGTGAGTTAGTCAGTGAGTGAGTTAGTCAGTGAGTGAGTGTGTGAGTGAGTGAGTGGGTGAGTGGGTGAGTGAGTCAGTGAGTGAGTGGGTGAGTGGCTGAGTGAGTGAGTGAGTCAGTGAGTGAGTGTGTGAGTGAGTGGGTGGGTGGGTGAGTGAGTGAGTGGGTGGGTGAGTGAGTGGGTGGGTGAGTGAGTGGGCTTAGAGAGTGAGTGGGTGAGTGAGTGGGTGGGTGGGTGGGTTGGTGAGTGAGTGGGTGAGTGAGTGGGTGGGTGAGTGTGTGTGTGAGTGGGTGGGTGGGTGAGTGAGTGGGTGGGTGGGTGAGTGAGTGGGCTTAGTGAGTGAGTGGGTGAGTGAGTGGGTGGGTGGGTGGGTTGGTGAGTGAGTGGGTGAGTGAGTGGGTGGGTGAGTGTGTGAGTGAGTGGGTGGGTGGGTGAGTGAGTGAGTGGGTGGGTGAGTGAGTGGGTTAGTGAGTGAGTAGGTGAGTGAGTGGGTGAGTGAGTGGGTGAGTGGGTGGGTGAGTCTGTGAGTGGGTGAGTGGGTGAGTGAGTGAGTTAGTCAGTGAGTGAGTTAGTCAGTGAGTGAGTGTGTGAGTGAGTGAGTGGGTGAGTGGGTGAGTGAGTCAGTGAGTGAGTGGGTGAGTGGCTGAGTGAGTGAGTGAGTCAGTGAGTGAGTGTGTGAGTGAGTGGGTGAGTGGGTGAGTGAGTGGGTTAGTCAGTGAGTGGGTGAGTGAGTGGGTTAGTCAGTGAGGGAGTGTGTGAGTGGGTTAGTCAGTGAGTGAGTGAGTTAATGAGTGAGTGAGTGAGTCAGTGAGTGACTTAGTCAGTGAATGAGTGGGTGAGTGATCTCAGCTCGATCACATAGGCTCAGGTATTCAACATTCCACATCTTGATCCATGCTCGAACCCTACCTGTTGTAGATGTCATCGTCCTCACCGCCCCATCCCCAGTAGGAGTTGGGGAAGCCGTTGATCTTGAGGAACTGTTCACGGGAGAGGCCACTCACACCTCCGAAGATGCCCGTGTAGGGAAGTCTAGCAACAACAACAACAACATTAATAACAATAACAACAACAACAACAATAACAACAACAATAAAAACAACAATAACAATAATAACAACAACAATAACGAACAATGACAACAAACATTAGTTCAACGCCGACGTGAGTTCAACGTTTTGTGGGTGGGTGAGTGGCTGAGTGAGTGGCTGAGTGAGTGGCTGAGTGACTGAGTGGCTGAGTGAATGGCTGAGTGAGTGGCTGAGTGAGTGGCTGAGTGAGTGAGTGAGTGGCTGAGTGGGTGAGTGGGTGACTGAGTGGCTGAGTGAGTGGGTGAGTGAGTGGCTTAGTTAATGGCTGAGTGAGTGAGTGGATGAGTGAGTGAGTGGGTGACTGAGTGGCTGAGTGAGTGGGTGAGTGAGTGAGTGGCTGAATTAATGGCTGAGTGAGTGAGTGGCTGAGTGGGTGACTGAGTGGCTGAGTGAATCGCTGAGTGAGTGGCTGAGTGAGTGGCTGAGTGAGTGAGTGGCTGAGTTAATGGCTGAGTGAGTGAGTGAGTGGCTGAGTGAGTGACTGAGTGGCTGAGTGAGTGGTTGAGTGAGTTAATGGCTGAGTGACTGAGTGGCTGAGTGAGTGAGTGGCTGAGTGAGTGGGTGAGTGAGTGGCTGAGTGAGTGGCTGAGTGAGTGGCTGAGTGAGTGAGTGAGTGGCTGAGTGAGTGCCTGAGTGGCTGAGTGAGTGGTTGAGTGAGTTAATGGCTGAGTGACTGAGTGGCTGAGTGAGTGAGTGGCTGAGTGAGTGGGTGAGTGAGTGGCTGAGTGAGTGAGTGAGTGGCTGAGTGAGTGACTGAGTGGCTGAGTGAGTGGTTGAGTGAGTTAATGGCTGAGTGACTGAGTGGCTGAGTGAGTGAGTGGATGAGTGAGTGAGTGGCTGAGTGAGTGGCTGAGTGAGTGGCTGAGTGGGTGCCTGAGTGGCTGAGTGAGTGGTTGAGTGAGTGAATGGCTGAGTGAGTGAGTGGCTGAGTGGGTGACTGAGTGGCTCAGTGTGTGGCTGAGTGAGTGGTTGAGTGAGTTAATGGCTGATTGAGTGAGTGACTGAGTGGGTGACTGAGTGGCTGAGTGAGTTAATGGCTGAGTGAGTGACTGACTGAGTGACTGAGTGGCTGAGTGAGTGACTGAGTGGCTGAGTGACTGAGTGAGTGAGTGACTGAGTGAGTGACTGAGTGGCTGAGTGAGTGAGTGGCTGAGTGAGTGACTGAGTGAGTGAGTGACTGAGTGGGTGACTGAGTGGCTGAGTGTGTGGTTGAGTGAGTTAATGACTGAGTGACTGAGTGGCTGAGTGAGTGACTGAGTGGGTGACTGAGTGGGTGACTGAGTGGCTGAGTGAGTGACTGAGAGAGTGACTGAGTGGCTGAGTGAGTGGTTGACTGAGTGACTGAGTGACTGAGTGGGTGACTGACTGAGTGAGCGACTCAGTGGGTGACTGAGTGGCTGAGTGACTGACTGAGTGGCTGAGTGAGTGACTGAGTGACTGAGTGACTGAGTGGGTGGCTGAGTGAGTGACTGAGTGGCTGAGTGAGTGGCTGAGTGAGCGACTGAGTGAGTGACTGAGTGACTGACTGAGTGGGTGACTGACTGAGTGGCTGAGTGTGTGACTGAGTGACTGAGTGGGTGGCTGAGTGAGTGACTGAGTGAGTGAGTGACTGAGTGAGTGACTGAGTGGCTGAGTAAGTGACTGAGTGACTGAGTGAGTGACTGAGTGACTGACTGACTGAGTGAGTGGCTGAGTGAGTGGGTGACTGAGTGGGTGACTGAGTGGCTGAGTAAGTGACTGAGTGACTGAGTAAGTGACTGAGTGACTGACTGACTGAGTGAGTGGCTGAGTGAGTGGGTGACTGAGTGGGTGACTGAGTGGGTGACTGAGTGGCTGAGTGAGTGACTGAGTGAGTGGCTGAGTGACTGAGTGGCTGAGTGACTGAGTGACTGAGTGGGTGACTGACTGAGTGGCTGACTGAGTGGCTGAGTGAGCGACTGAGTGAGTGACTGAGTGACTGACTGAGTGAGTGACTGAGTGGCTGACTGAGTGGCTGAGTGGCTGAGTGGCTGAGTGAGTGGCTGAGTGAGTGGCTGAGTGGCTGCGTGAGTGGGTGACTGAGTGGCTGAGTGAGTGACTGAGTGACTGAGTGGGTGGCTGAGTGAGTGACTGAGTGGGTGACTGAGTGGCTGAGTGAGTGGCTGAGTGAGTGGTTGACTGAGTGACTGAGTGACTGAGTGGGTGACTGAGTGAGTGAGTGACTGAGTGGCTGAGTGAGTGGCTGAGTGAGCGACTGAGTGGGTGACTGAGTGAGTGAGTGACTGAGTGGCTGACTGAGTGACTGAGTGGCTGAGTGAGTGGCTGAGTGACTGAGTGGCTGACTGAGTGAGTGAGTGACTGAGTGACTGAGTGAGTGACTGAGTGAGTGACTGAGTAACTGAGTGAGTGAGTGAGTGACTGAGTGAGTGAGTGAGTGGCTGAGTGAGTGACTGAGTGGCTGAGTGACTGACTGAGTGAGTGACTGAGTGGCTGAGTGAGTGGCTGAGTGAGTGACTGAGTGGCTGAGTGAGTGGCTGAGTGAGCGACTGAGTGGGTGACTGAGTGAGTGGGTGACTGAGTGGCTGAGTGAGTGGCTGAGTGAGCGACTGAGTGAGTGGCTGAGTGAGCGACTGAGTGGCTGAGTGAGTGACTGAGTGGGTGACTGAGTGGGTGGCTGAGTGAGCGGCTGAGTGACTGACTGAGTGACTGAGTGTGTGACTGAGTGAGTAACTGAGTGACTGAGTGAGTGACTGAGTGGCTGAGTGAGTGGCTGAGTGACTGAGTGAGTGACTGAGTGAGTGGCTCAGTGACCGAGTGAGTGCCTGAGTGACTGACTGAGAGAGTGGCTGAGTGACTGAGTGAGTGGCTGAGTGACTGACTGAGAGAGTGACTGAGTGACTGAGTGAGTGGCTGAGTGAGTGGTTGACTGAGTGGCTGAGTGACTGAGTGATTGAGTGAGTGAGTGAGTGACTGAGTGAGTGACTGAGTGGGTGACTGAGTGGCTGAGTGACTGACTGGGTGGCTGACTGAGTGGCTGAGTGAGTGGCTGAGTGAGCGACTGAGTGGCTGAGTGAGCGACTGAGTGAGTGGCTGAGTGACTGACTGAGTGACTGAGTGGCTGACTGAGTGAGTGACTGAGTGGCTGACTGAGTGACTGACTGAGTGACTGAGTGAGTGACTGAGTGACTGACTGAGTGGCTGAGTGAGTGACTGAGTGAGTGACTGAGTGGCTGAGTGAGTGACTGAGTGACTGACTGAGTGACTGAGTGAGCGACTGAGTGGCTGACTGAGTGGTTGACTGAGTGGCTGAGAGAGTGGCTGAGTGAGTGGTTGACTGAGTGACTGAGTGACTGAGTGGCTGACTGAGTGGCTGACTGAGTGGCTGAGTGAGTGGCTGAGTGAGTGGTTGACTGAGTGACTGAGTGAGTGACTGAGTGGGTGACTGAGTGGCTGAGTGACTGACTGGGTGGCTGACTGAGTGGCTGAGTGTGTGGTTGAGTGAGTTAATGGCTGAGTGAGTGAGTGACTGAGTGAGCGACTGAGTGGTTGACTGAGTAACTGAGTGAGTGACTGAGTGAGTGAGTGAGCGACTGAGTGAGTGGTTGACTAAGTGAGTGACTGAGTGGGTGACTGAGTGGCTGAGTGACTGACTGGGTGGCTGACTGAGTAACTGAGTGAGTGACTGAGTGGCTGAGTGAGTGGCTGAGTGAGTGACTGAGTGGCTGAGTGAGTGGGTGACTGAGTGAGTGACTGAGTGGCTGAGTGAGTGACTGAGTGACTGAGTGAGCGACTGAGTGAGTGACTGAGTGGCTGACTGACTGAGTGAGTGAGTGGCTGACTGAGTGGCTGACTGAGTGGCTGAGAGAGTGGCTGAGTGGGTGACTGAGTGGCTGAGTGACTGAGTGAGTGGCTGAGTGAGCGACTGAGTGGGTGGCTGAGTGAGCGACTGAGTGGCTGAGTGAGCGGCTGAGTGAGCGACTGAGTGACTGACTGACTGAGTGACTGAGTGGCTGAGTGAGTGGCTGAGTGAGTGACTGAGTGGCTGAGTGACTGAGTGAGTGGCTGAGTGAGTGAGTGGATGAGTGAGTGAGTGGCTGACTGAGTGGCTGACTGAGTGGCTGAGAGAGTGGCTGAGTGGGTGACTGAGTGGCTGAGTGACTGAGTGAGTGGCTGAGTGAGCGACTGAGTGGGTGGCTGAGTGAGCGACTGAGTGGCTGAGTGAGCGGCTGAGTGAGCGACTGAGTGGCTGAGTGACTGAGTGAGTGGCTGAGTGAGTGAGTGGATGAGTGAGTGAGTGAGTGACTGAGTGGCTGAGTGGCTGAGTGAGTGACTGAGTGACTGAGTGACTGAGTGAGTGACTGAGTGGCTGACTGAGTGGCTGAGTGAGTGGCTGAGTGACTGACTGAGTGGCTGACTGAGTGAGTGGCTGAGTGACTGACTGACTGAGTGACTGACTGAGTGACTGACTGAGTGACTGACTGACTGACTGAGTGACTGACTGAGTGACTGAGTGAGTGACTGACTGAGTGACTGAGTGGTTTACTGAGCGACTGAGTGAGCGACTGAGTGGGTGACTGAGTGACTGAGTGACTGAGTGAGTGACTGAGTGACTGAGTGAGTGACTGAGTGGGTGACTGAGTGGCTGAGTGACTGACTGAGAGAGTGGTTGACTGAGTGGCTGAGTGAGTGAGTGGCTGAGTGAGCGACTGAGTTACCGGAACTTGAACTTGTCGACTGCGACAGACAGGTGCCGTGGTTGGTCGTGGCAGCGGTAGAGGTTGTGGTCGTTCATGGGGATGAGGTCGACGTCGTGGAAGATGAAGCAGTCGTAGGCGGCGTCTCGACTCGCCTCCACGTAGCCCACGTTCATCAGCTTGGCCTTGTTGAAGGTCTCCTCGCCGTGCTGGGGGTGGGGGTGGTGGGTGGGGGTGGTGGTGGGTGGAGGTGGTGGTGGTGGTGGGTGGGGGTGGTGGTGGTGTGGGTGGTGGTGGTGGTGGTGGTGGTGGGAGTGGGGGTGGTGGTGGTGGTGATGGTGGTGGTGGGTGGGGGTGGTGGTGATGGTGGGTGGGGGTGGTGGTGTGGGTGGTGGTGGTGGTTGTGGTGAGGGAGGTGGGTGGATTTACGCCCCCCGTTTTGGAAGTCGTTCGCAGATTAACCCACCCACTCACCCACCCACCAACCCGCCTACTCACCCACCCACCAACTCACCCACCCACCAATCCACATACTCACCCACCCACCCACTTACCCACCCATCTAGTCACCCACTCACCCACCCATAAACCCACCCACCCACTCACCCACCCACCAACCCACCTACTCACCCACCCACCCACTCACCCACCCACCCACCTTCCCACCTATCCACCTACTCACCCACCCACTCACCCACCCACCCACTCACCCACCCACCCACCCACTCCCCCACCCCACCCACTCACTCACTTACTCACCCACCCACCCACTCACTCACTCACTCACCCACCCACCCACCCACTCACTCACTCACCCACCCACCCCACCCACTCCCCCACCCACCCACCCACTCACCCACTCACTCACCCACCCACCCACACACTCACCCACCCACTCACCCACTCACTCACCCACCCACCCACTCACCCACCCACTCACCCACCCACCCACCCACTCACCCACCCCACACCCACCCACCCACTCACCCACCCACTCACCCACTCACTCACTCACCCACTCATTCATCCACCCATCCCACCCACTCCCCCACCCGCCCACTCACTCACCCACCCACCCACCCACTCACCCACCCACCCACTCACCCCACCCACCACCCCACACCCACTCACCCACCCCACTCACCCCACCCACTCACCACCCCACTCACTCACTCATTCATCCACCCACCCCACCCACTCCCCCACCCACCCACTCACTCACTCATTCACTCACCCACCCACTCATTCACTCACCCACCTACCCACCCACTCACTCACCCCACTCACCCACTCACCACCCCACACCCCACTCACCACCAACCAACCCACCCACCCACGGCTCACCTGGTTGACGATGTAGACTCTGTACTCGATCTGTTGCCTCTGCAGCATGGGGTGGACGTAGCGGAGCCAAAACGAGAGGTGAAACTCCCGGCTGCGGAAGGGAATGATCACTGCCACGCGTTGCCGGGGACGGCATCGCGCTGGGCGCCAGTGACCGCCGAGGGCCACGTCCGGGTTCGAGCGGCGGACCTCGTCCACGCTGACGTTGGTCAAGAAGGTCACCTTGAAAGAGCCCACTGCGGATGAGGAGGAGGATGAGGATGAGGCCACGCGGATCGGCCATTCACCTTCGTGGGATGTGTGGTCGCCACAGCGGCGACACTGGGGGCTCCGGACGGGTGCGAGGAGGGGGGATGGGAGTGGGGGAGTGGGGGGCTGGTGGACCCCCCTCCTCCGCTAATAAATTGACTGGCGAGAAATCGCGACTGAGAAAATATATTTATGGGAATGGGTTTTAACCCCCCCCCTTTTAACTGGCACGCAAAAAACTGACACCGTTATTCAAGGCGTCGTGTTTGCAATAACCACAACAATAACCACAACAATAACCACAACAATAACCACAACAATAACCACAACAATAACCACAACAATAACCACAACAACAACCACAACAATAACCACAACAATAACCACAACAATAACCACAACAATAACCACAACAATAACCACAACAATAGCCACAACAATAACCACAACAATAACCACAACAATAACCACAACAATAACCACAACAATAACCACAACAATAGCCACAACAATAACCACAACAATAACCACAACAATAACCACAACAATAACCACAACAGTAACCACAACACAAGCAGTCAAAATGCAAACAAAAAGAGACAACTCTGATAATTATGAGACCTCCTTTGCCAGTAACAAGATATAGTTAATAGGTTTTTAACCCCTTTTAACTGGCACACAAAAACACTGACACCTTTATTCAAGGCGTCGTGTTTGCAATAACCACAACAATAACCACAACAATAACCACAACAATAACCACAACAATAACCACAACAATAACCACAACAATAACCACAACAATAACCACAACACAAGCCACAACAATAACCACAACAATAACCACAACAATAACCACAACAATAACCACAACACAAGCCACAACAATAACCACAACAATAACCACAACAATAACCACAACAATAACCACAACAATAACCACAACACAAGCCACCCACCCCCTCGTGTACCGTTCCGGCCTTCATAGGTGCTCGCTAACAGCACTTGCCCCTCCAGCCTGTTAAGGCTATATGGGGGATCATTGTCTTTGTTGTGTGTCTGTGTGTGTGTGTCTGCGACACGCTAACAGCACTTGCCCCAACATTCTCTGAGAGGTTACACGGGGGATCTTTGTCAATTGTGGCAACTTAAAGGCCAACGTTTGTTTGACATCCTGACGCATACTCGTCCGATGACATCAAGTTAACTAAACAGACACAACTCACATCCTGCTGGTGATGGTGGTGGTGTCTGACCTCTATCACTCCTCCACCCATCATCATCTATGGGGCAGTGTTGAGTCTATGGCAGTGTTGAGTCTACGGGTGGCAGCGTTGAGTCTATGGGTGGCAGCGTTGAGTCTGTGGGTGGCAGTGTTGAGTCTATGGGTGGCAGCGTTGAGTCTATGGCAGTGTTGAGTCTATGGTGCAGTGTTGAGTCTATGGGCAGTGTTGAGTCTATGGGCAGTGTTGAGTCTATGGGTGGCAGTGTTGAGTCTATGGGTGGCAGTGTTGAGACTATGGGCAGTGTTGAGTCTATGGGTGGCAGTGTTGAGTCTATGGGTGGCAGTGTTGAGTGGTGGCAGTGTTGAGTCTATGGGTGGCAGTGTTGAGTCTATGGGTGGCAGCGTTGAGTCTATGGGTGGCAGTGCTGAGTCTATGGGCAGTGTTGAGTCTACGGGTGGCAGTGTTGAGTCTATGGCAATGTTGAGACTCTGGGTGGCAGTGTTGCGTCTATGGGTGGCAGTGTTGAGTCTATGGGTGACAGTGTTGAGTCTATGGGTGGCAGTGTTGAGTCTATGGGTGGCAGTGTTGAGTCTATGGGTGGCAGTGTTGAGTCTATGGGCAGTGTTGAGTCTACGGGTGGCAGTGTTGAGTCTATGGGTGGCAGTGTTTAGTCTATGGGTGGCAGTGTTGAGTCTATGGGTGGTAGTGTTGAGTCTATGGGTGGCAGTGTTGAGTCTACGGGTGGCAGCGTTGAGTCTATGGGTGGCAGTGTTGAGTCTATGGGTGGCAGTGTTGAGTCTATGGGTGGCAGTGTTGAGTCTATGGGTGGCAGTGTTGAGTGGTGGCAGTGTTGAGTCTATGGGTGGCAGTGTTGAGTCTATGGGTGGCAGTGTTGAGTCTATGGGTGGCAGTGCTGAGTCTATGGGCAGTGTTGAGTCTACGGGTGGCAGTGTTGAGTCTATGGCAATGTTGAGACTCTGGGTGGCAGTGTTGAGTCTATGGGTGGCAGTGTTGAGTCTATGGGTGGCAGTGTTGAGTCTATGGGTGACAGTGTTGAGTCTATGGGTGGCAGTGTTGAGTCTATGGGTGGCAGTGCTGAGTCTATGGGTGGCAGTGTTGAGTCTCGGGGTAGCCAGAACTACAAGCATCTGCCGCTACAAATGTCCCCATGACGATGACGACGACGATGAGATGAGCCACTTTGTCCAGCTGCTATAATTTGCGTTGTGTGGGCCTACTTCTGACGAAGAGCCACGGCATAGACTCAGCGCTGGGCCTTCCACCTGGTTACACAAACGCATTGTATCGGGGCTTTCATGTAAAGTCGCGCAGATACGTTCAAATTGACGGACACAAATTAACCACGCAAGTGGTCGCTCGTGCTGTGATCGAAACGTCGTGGTGGTCGGCTCATTTGGATGCTTTTGTTCATCAATTTGAACCGATCTAAGTGACTTTACACAGGAATATCAATTCCCGCACTCACGAAGGCTTCAGGTCAAAACGTGAACAGAGTTGGGTTTTAATATGGGTCTCGATCAGTATGGGTCTCTGTGGGTCTCTGTGGGTCTGTATGGGTCTGTATGGGTCTGTATGGGTCTCTATGAGTATGGGTCTCTGTGGGTCTGTATGGGTCTCTGTGGGTCTCTGTGGGTCTGTATGGGTCTCTATGAGTATGGGTCTCTGTGGGTTTCTGTGGGTCTGTATGGGTCTCTATGAGTATGGGTCTCTGTGGGTCTCTGTGGGTCTGTATGGGTCTCTATAAGTATGGGTCTCTGTGGGTCTGTATGGATCTCTATGAGTCTCGATCAGTATGGGTCTCTGTGGGTCTCTATGGGTCTCTGTGGGTCTCTGTGGGTCTGTATGGGTCTCTATGAGTATGGGTCTCTGTGGGTCTCTGTGGATCTGTATGGGTCTCTATGAGTATGAGTCTCTGTGGGTCTCTATGGGTCTCTGTGGATCTCTGTGGGTCTGTATGGGTCTCGATCAGTATGGGTCTCTGTGGATCTGTATGGGTCTGTATGGGTCTCTATGAGTATGGGTCTCTGTGGGTCTGTATGGGTCTCTATGAGTATGGGTCTCTGTGGGTTTGTATGGGTCTCTATGAGTCTCTATGAGTATGAGTTTCTGTGGGCCTGTATGGGTCTCTATGAGTATGGGTCTCTGTGGGTCTCTATGGGTCTGTATAGGTCTCTATGAGTATGGGTCTCTGTGGGTCTCTATGAGTCTCTTTGAGTATGGGTCTCTGTGGGTCTGTATGGGTCTCTATGAGTCTCTATGAGTATGGGTCTCTGTGGGTCTCTGTGGGTCTCTATGAGTCTCTATGAGTATGGGTCTCTGTGGGTCTGTATGGGTCTCTATGAGTCTCTTTGAGTTTGGGTCTCTGTGGGTTTGTATGGGTCTCTATGAGTATGGGTCTCTGTGGGTCTCTATGAGTCTCTATGAGTATGGGTTTCTGTGGGCCTGTATGGGTCTCTATGAGTATGGGTCTCTGTAGGTCTGTATGGGTCTCTATGAGTCTCTATGAGTATGGGTCTCTGTGGGTCTGTATGGGTCTCTATGAGTCTCTATGAGTATGGGTCTCTGTGGGTCTGTATGGGTCTCTATGAGTATGGGTTTCTGTGGGTCTGTATGGGTCTCTATGAGTCTCTTTGAGTATGGGTCTCTGTGGGTCTGTATGGGTCTCTATGAGTCTCTTTGAGTATGAGTCTCTGGGTCTCTATGGGTCTGTATGGGTCTCTATGAGTATGGGTCTCTGTGGGTCTGTATGGATCTCTATGAGTCTCTTTGAGTATGGGTCTCTGTGGGTCTGTATGGGTCTCTATGAGTCTCTATGAGTATGAGTGTCTTTGGGTCTCTGTGTCTCTGTATGGGTCTCTATGGGTATGGGTCTCTGTGGGTCTGTATGGGTCTCTATGAGTCTCTATGAGTATGAGTCTCTTTGGGTCTCTGTGTCTCTGTATGGGTCTCTATAAGTATGGGTATGTATGGGTCTCTATGAGTCTCTATGAGTATGGGTCTCTGTGGGTCTCTATGAGTATGGGTCTCTGTGGGTCTCTGTGGGTCTGTGTGGGTCTCTGTGAGTATGGGTCTGTATGGGTCTCTATGAGTATGGGTCTCTGTGGGTCTGTATGGGTCTCTATGAGTATGGGTCTGTATGGGTCTCTATGAGTCTCTATGAGTATGGGTCTCTGTGGGTCTGTATGGGTCTCTATAAGTATATGTTTGTATGGTACTCTGTGGGTCTCTATGAGTATGGGTCTCTGTGGGTCTCTGTGGGTCTTTGTGGGTCTCTATGAGTATGGGTCTCTGTGGGTCTGTATGGGTCTCTATGAGTATGGGTCTCTGTGGGTCTGTATGGGTCTCTATGAGTATGGGTCTCTGTGGGTCTCTGTGTGTCTGTATGGGTCTCTATGAGTATGGGTCTCTGTGGGTCTCTGTGTGTCTGTATGGGTCTCTATGAGTATGGGTCTCTGTGTGTCTGTATGGGTCTGTATGGGTCTCTATGAGTATGGGTCTCTGTGGGTCTCTGTGTGTCTGTATGGGTCTCTATGAGTATGGGTCTCTGTGGGTCTCTGTGGTTCTCTATGAGTATGGGTCTCTCTGAGTATGGAACTCAATGAGTCTCTCACGAGTTTAGAGTAATTGGCTACTGTTGCAAATGTTCACGTGATGATGATGATGGTGATGATGGTGATGATGATGGTGATGATGATGGTGATGATGATGGTGATGATGATGGTGATGATGATCATGATGAAATCAGCCACTGCATGAGCTGCTCTCATTTGAGATGGCCACGTGACCCTTCCGATAAAGAGCAGTTCAGTGTGGAGAATCAGTGGCATCTACAGAACGTGAAGAACCAGTGGCATCTACATCTACAGAACGTGAAGAACCAGTGGCATCCACATCTACAGAACGTGAAGAACCAGTGGCATCTACATCTATAGAAGGTGAAGAACCAGTGGCATCTACATCTACAGAACTTGAAGAACCAGTGGCATCTACAGAACGCGAAGAACCAGTGGCATCTACAGAACGTGAAGAACCAGTGGCATCTACAGAACGTGAAGAACCAGTGGCATCTACAGAACTTGAAGAACCAGAGGCATCTACAGAGCGTGAAGAACCAGAGGCATCTACATCTACAGAACGTGAAGAACCAGAGGCATCTACATCTGTAGAACGTGAAGAACCAGTGACATCAACATCTACAGAAGGTGAAGAACCAGTGGCATCTACATCTACAGAACGTGAAGAACCAGTGGCATCTACATCTGTAGAACCTGAAGAACCAGTGGCATCTACATCTACAGAACGTGAAGAACCAGTGGCATCTATAGAACGTGAAGAACCAGTGGCATCTACAGAACGTGAAGAACCAATGGCATCTACAGAACGTGAAGAACCAGTGGCATCTACAGAACCTGAAGAACCAGTGGCATCTACATCTACAGAAGGTGAAGAACCAGTGGCATCTACATCTACAGAACTTGAAGAACCAGTGGCATCTACAGAACGCGAAGAACCAGTGGCATCTACAGAACGTAAAGAACCAGTGGCATCTACAGAACGTGAAGAACCAGTGGCATCTACAGAACTTGAAGAACCAGAGGCATCTGCAGAACGTGAAGAACCAGAGGCATCTACATCTACAGAACGTGAATAACCAGAGGCATCTACATCTGTAGAACGTGAAGAACCAGTGACATCTACATCTACAGAAGGTGAAGAACCAGTGGCATCTACATCTACAGAACGTGAAGAACCAGTGGCATCTACATCTGTGGAACCTGAAGAACCAGTGGCATCTACATCTACAGAACGTGAAGAACCAGTGGCATCTATAGAACATGAAGAACCAGTGGCATCTACAGAACGTGAAGAACCAGTGTCATCTACATCTGCAGAACGTGAGAACCAGTGGCAACTACATCTGCAGAACGTGAAGAACCAGTGGCATCTACATCTACAGAACATAAAAAAACAGTCGCATCTACATCTGCAGACCGTGTAGAACCAGAGGCATCTACAGAACGTGAAGAACCAGTGGCATCTACATCTACAGAACGTGAAGAACCAGTGGCATTTACATCTACAGAACGTGAAGAACCAGTGGCATCTACATCTGTAGAAGGTGAAGAACCAGTGGCATCTACATCTGTAGAAGGTGAAGAACCAGTGGCATCTACATCTGTAGAACGTGAAGAACCAGTGGCATCTACATCTAGAGAACGTGAAGAACCAGTGGCATATACATCTGTAGAAGGTGAAGAACCAGTGGCATCTACATCTACAGAACGTGAAGAACCAGTGGCATCTACATCGGCAGAACGTGATTAACCAGTGGCATCTACATCTGTAGAACGTGAAGAACCAGTGGCATCTACATCTGTATAAAGTGAAGAACCAGAGGCATCTACAGAACGTGAAGAACCAGAGGCATCTACAGAACGTGAAGAACCAGAGGCATCTACATCTGTAGAACGTGATGAACCAGTGACATCTACATCTACAGAAGGTGAAGAACCAATGGCATCTACATCTACAGAACGTGAAGAACCAGTGGCATCTACATCTGTAGAACCTGAAGAACCAGTGGCATCTACATCTGTAGAACGTGAAGAACCAGTGGTATCTATAGAACGTGAAGAACCAGTGGCATCTACAGAACGTGAAGAACCAGTGGCATCTACAGAACCTGAAGAACCAGTGGCATCTACATCTACAGAATGTGAGAACCAGTGGCATCTACATCTACAGAACCTGAAGAACCAGTGGCATCTACATCTACAGAACGTGAAGAACCAGTGGCATCTACATCTGTAGAACGTGAAAAACCAGTCGCATCTACCTCTACAGAACGTGAAGAACCAGTGGCATCTACATCTACAGAACGTGAAGAACCAGTGGCATCTACATTGGCAGAACGTGAATAACCAGTGGCATCTACATCTGCAGAACGTGAAGAACCAGTGGCATCTACATCTACAGAACGTGAAGAACCAGTGGCATCTACATCTACAGAACGTGAAGAACCAGTGGCATCTACATCTACAGAACGTGAAGAACCAGTGGCATCTACATCTACAGAACGTGAAGAACCAGTGGCATCTACATCTGTAGAAGGTCAAGAACCAGTGGCATCTACATCTGTAGAACGCGAAGAACCAGTGGCATCTACATCTGTAGAACGTGAAGAACCAGTGGCATCTACGTCTACAGAACGTGAAGAACCAGTGGCATCTACATCTGTAGAACGTGAAGAACCAGTGGCATCTACATCTGTAGAACGTGAAGAACCAGTGGCATCTACATCTGCAGAACGTGAAGAACCAGTGGCATCTACAGAACGTGAAGAATCAGTGACATCTACATCTGTAGAAGGTCAAGAACCAGTGGAATCTACATCTGTAGAACGCGAAGAACCAGTGGCATCTACAGAACGTGAAGAACCAGTGGCATCTACATCTGTAGAACGCGAAGAACCAGTGGCATCTACATCTGTAGAACGTGAAGAACCAGTGGCATCTACGTCTACAGAACGTGAAGAACCAGTGGCATCTACATCTGTAGAACGTGAAGAACCAGTGGCATCTACATCTGTAGAACGTGAAGAACCAGTGGCATCTACATCTGCATAACGTGAAGAACCAGTGGGATCTACATCTGCAGAACGTGAAGAACCAGTGGCATCTACAGAACGTGAAGAACCAGTGGCATCTACATCTGTAGAAAGTGAAGAACCAGTGGCATCTACAGAACATGAAGAACTAGTGGCATCTACATCTGCAGAACGTGAAGAACCAGTGGCATCTACATCTGTAGAACGTGAAGAACCAGTGGCATATACCTCTACAGAACGTGAAGAACCAGTGGCATCTACATCTGCAGAAGGTGAAGAACCAGTGGAATCTACATCTGTAGAATGTGAAGAACCAGTGGCATATAGATGGGTAATATTTTATAAAGTAGTATATTAGTATTTAATGTAGCGTATTAGTGTAAAATGTAGTGTATAGTGTAGTGTCAAGTTTATTGTATAGTGTAGTGTATAGTCGTGTAGTGTAGAGTGGAGTATATAGTAGTGTATAGTGTAGTAGCGTATAGTGTAGTATAGTAGTGTATAGTGTAGTGTATAGTGTAGTAGTGTAGTGTATAGTGTATAGTGTAGTAGTGTATAGTGTAGTGTATAGTGTAGTAGTGTAGTAGTGTATAGTGTAGTAGTGTATAGTGTAGTAGTATATAGTGTAGTAGTGTATAGTGTAGTAGTGTATAGTGTAGTAGTATATAGTGTAGTAGTGTATAGTGTAGTAGTGTATAGTGTAGTAGTATATAGTGTAGTAGTGTATAGTGTAGTAGTGTATAGTGTAGTGTATAGTGTAGTAGTGTATAGTGTAGTAGTGTATAGTGTAGTGTATAGTGTAGTAGTGTATAGTGTAATGTGTACTATCTAGTGCAGTAGTGCTTGTGTCCGTCGCCAGTCAAAGCGAGGATCACCATCACCACCACCATCACCACCACCACCACCACCCTCACCACCACCATCACCACCACCACCACCACCATCACCACCGCCACCACCGCCACCACCACCACCACCATCACCACCACCGCCATCACCACCCTCACCACCACCACGACCACCACCCTCACCAGGCGAGCGAGGTCCCCACTCACCCAGCGTCAGCGGCTCCTCCGCGCACAGCTCCGCCGTCGCCGCGGTGACCGCCGCTGGACGTCCGTCGGCGGTCGCCGGCCGCTCAACGTCACCGCGGCCCTCCTCCGGCCCCCCCAGGGGCAGCGTCCCACCGGTGACGTCGGCGCTGCCCTCCCGCAGGGCCTGGCCCTGGGCCTGAGCCTGGCCCTGAGCCTGGGCCTGGCCCTGAGCCTGGCCCTGGGCCTGGCCCTGAGCCTGGCCCTGGGCCTGGCCCTGGGCCTGGCCCTGGGCCTGAGCCTGACCCTGAGCCTGGCCCTGGGCCTGGCCCTGGGCCTGGCCCTGGGCCTGGCCCTGAGCCTGGCCCTGGGCCTGGCCCTGGGCCTGGCCCTGGGCCTGAGCCTGACCCTGAGCCTGGCCCTGGGCCTGACCCTGAGCCTGGCCCTGGGCCTGGCCCTGGGCCTGGCCCTGAGCCTGGCCCTGCCCCCGACGCTGGCCCTGGGGGCGCGTCGTGGAGGGGGCCCACGGCGGAGCTCCGACGTCCAGGACGGTGCTGAGCACAAAGAGGCTCTCCATGACGCAGAGCGCCGCCAGGAAGCGGCAGAGGAATAGGAGGCAGCGGTGGTGGTGGTGGTGGTGGCGGCAGCACGATGGAGACATTGGTGGTGGTGGTGGTTGTTGTTGTGGTGGTGGTGGTTGTTGTGGTGGTTGTTGTTGTGGTTGTTGTTGTGGTGGTTGTTGTTGTGGTGGTTGTTGTTGTGGTTGTTGTGGTGGTGGTTGTTGTGGTTGTTGTTGTGGTGGTTGTTGTTGTGGTGGTTGTTGTTGTTGTTGTTGTGGTGGTTGTTGTGGTGGTGGTTGTGGTGGTGGTTGTTGTTGTTGTTGTGGTGGTGTGGTTGTTGTGGTGGTGGTGTAGTTGTTGTGGTGGTTGTTGTTGTTGTTGTGGTTGTTGTTGTTGTTGTTGTGGCGGTTGTTGTGGTGGTTGTTGTTGTGGTTGTGGTGGTGGTGTGGTTGTTGTGGTGGTTGTTGTTGTTGTGGTTGTTGTTGTTGTTGTTGTGGCGGTTGTTGTGGTTGTTGTTGTTGCTGTTGTGGCAGTTGTGGTGGTTGTTGTTGTTGTGGCGGTTGTTGTGGTGGTTGTAGTGGTGGTTGTTGTTGTTGTTGTGGCGGTTGTTGTTGTTGTTGTAGTGGCGGTTGTTGTTGTTGCGGTTGTGGTGGTTGTTGTTGTGCGTGTGGAACGTACGTAGCCAACAGTCGAAGGTCGAATGCTTTATTTGAACGACAAAATTGAGAGTTCACCAGACAAGTTCAAGCGACTTGAGGGATTGTTTAGTTTTTAACCGGTCGATCTAAACCGGTCTAAGCCGGTGTAAACCGCCGATCTGAACGGATCTAAACCGATCTGAACCGGTCTAAACTCGTCTAAACTCGTCTAAACTGGTCTAAGCCACCAATCCAAACCGATCTAAACCGGTTGAAACTTCCTATCTAAACCGGTCTAAACGAATCTAAACCGGTCTAAACCGATCTAAGCCGGTGTAAACCGTCGATCTGATCCAATCTAAACCGATCTGAACCGGTCTAAACCGATCGATCTAAACCAATCTAAACTGGTGTAAACCGCTAATCTAAACCAATCTAAACCGATCGGAACCGGTCTAAACAGGTCTAAACTGGTCTAAACTCGTCTAAACTGGTCTAAGCCACCAATCCAAACCGATCTAAACCGGTCTAAACTTCCTATCTAAACTGGTCTAAACGTATCTAAACCGGTCTAATCCAATCTAAACCGGTGTAAACCGCCGATCTAAACCGATCTGAACCGGTCTGAACAGGTCTAAACTCGTCTAAACTGGTCTAAACTGGTCTAAGCCACGAATCCAAACCGATCTAAACCGGTCTAAACTTACTATGTAAACCGGTCTAAACGAAACTAAACCGGTCTAAACCGATCTAAACTAACCTCGGGACTCTGATCGCTCGCCGTTGTGTGTGTGTCTGTGTGCGTGTGTCTGTGTGCGTGTGTCTGTGTGTGTGTCTGTGTGTCTGTGTCTGTGTGTGTGTCTGTGTGTGTGTCTGTGTGTGTCTGTATGTGTGTGTCTGTGTGTGTGTCTGTGTGTGTGTCTGTGTGTGTGTGTGTGTCACTGTGTCTGTGTGTCTGTGTGTGTGTCTGTCTGTGTGTGTCTGTGTGTGTGTCTGTGTGTGTGTCTGTGTGTGTGTCACTGTCTGTGTGTGTGTCTGTGTGTGTGTCACTGTGTCTGTGTGTGTCTGTGTGTGTCTGTGCGTGAATCGTTGTCTTTGTGGTCTATAAGGAGAGAGATTTGTGAGAGAGATTGACGTTAACAGATTGAAGTGCTGAGTGACTGGGTGTGTGTGTCTGTGTGTGTCTGTGTGTGTGTGTCTGTGTGTGTGTGTCTGTGTGTGTCTGTGTGTGTGTCTGTGTGTGTGTCTGTGTGTGTGTCACTGTCTGTGTGTGTGTCTGTGTGTGTGTCACTGTGTCTGTGTGTGTCTGTGTGTGTCTGTGTGTGTGTGTGTCTCTGTGTGTGTGTGTCTGTGTGTGTGTCTGTCTGTGTGTGTCTGTGTGTGTGTGTGTCTGTGTGTGTGTCTGTGTGTGTGTCACTGTCTGTGTGTGTGTCTGTGTGTGTGTCACTGTGTCTGTGTGTGTCTGTGTGTGTCTGTGCGTGAATCGTTGTCTTTGTGGTCTATAAGGAGAGAGATTTGTGAGAGAGATTGACGTTAACAGATTGAAGTGCTGAGTGACTGGGTGTGTGTGTCTGTGTGTGTCTGTGTGTGTGTGTCTGTGTGTGTGTGTCTGTGTGTGTCTGTGTGTGTGTCTGTGTGTGTGTCTGTGTGTGTGTCACTGTCTGTGTGTGTGTCTGTGTGTGTGTCACTGTGTCTGTGTGTCTGTGTGTGTCTGTGTGTGTCTGTGTGTCTGTGCGTGAATCGTTGTCTTTGTGGTCTATAAGGAGAGAGATATATGAGAGAGATTGACGATAACAGATTGAAGTGCTGAGTGACTGGGTGTGTGTGTCTGTGTGTGTCTGTGTGTGTGTGTCTCTGTGTGTGTGTGTCTGTGTGTGTGTCTGTGTGTGTCTGTGTGTGTGTCTGTGTGTGTGTCTGTGTGTGTGTCACTGTGTCTGTGTGTCTGAGTCTATGTGTGTGTCTGTGTGTGTCTGTGTGTGTCTGTCTGTGTGTGTGTCTGTGTGTGTGTCACTGTCTGTGTGTGTGTCTGTGTGTGTGTCACTGTGTCTGTGTGTCTGTGTGTGTCTGTGTGTGTGTCTGTGTGTGTATGTGTGTGTGTGTCTGTGCGTGAATCGTTGTCTTTGTGGTCTATAAGGAGAGAGATATATGAGAGAGATTGACGATAACAGATTGAAGTGCTGAGTGACTGAGTGTGTGTGTCTGTGTGTGACCTATATCAAAAGGAGGGGGGGAGAATGGCAATAGGGCGTGGCCAGATTACGGGGGCGTGGCCACAAAGATGGGGGGGAGCTTGGTAAAAGGGCGGGACCGGGGGGGGGGAAGGGGCGGGGCCTGTGGAGGGGAAGGGGCGGGGTCTAAAGCTGACCCAAGCTTTCACAAAGCAGCCTCTGGCATTCTGATAAACAAGCAGAGACTTTTATAGACAAAACAGAGACTTTTATACACAAACAGAGACATTTATACACAAACAGAGACTTTTATACACAAACAGAGACTTTTATACACAAATAGAGACTTTTATACACAAATAGAGACTTTTATACACAAACAGAGACTTTTATACAAAACAGAGACTTTTATACACAAACAGAGACTTGTATAGACAAACAGAGACATGTATACACAAACATAGACATTTATACACAAACAGAGACTTTTATAAACAAACAGAGACATTTATACACAAACAGAGACTTTTATAGACAAACAGAGACTTTTATACACAAACAGAGACTTTTATACACAAACAGAGACTTTTATAGACAAACAGAGACATTTATACACAAACAGAGGCTTTTATACACAGAGACATTTATACACAAACAGAAACTTTTATAGACAAACAGAGACTTTTATACACAAACAGAGACTTTTATACACAAACAGAGACTTTTATACACAAACATAGACATTTATACACAAACAGAGACTTTTATACACAAACAGAAACTTTTATACACAGAGACTTTTATACACAAACAGAGACATTTATAGACAAACAGAGACTTTTATAGACTGACAGAGACTTTTATACACAAACAGAGACTTTTATACACAAACAGAGACTTTTATACACAAACAGATACTTTTATACAAAAACAGAGACTTTTATACACAAACAGAGACTTTTATACACAAACAGAGAATTTTATACACAAACAGAGACTTTTATACACAAACAGAGACATTTATACACAAACAGAGACTTTTATACACAAACAGAGACTTTTATACACAAACAGAGACTTTTATACACAAACAGAGGCTTTTATACACAAACAGAAACTTTTATACACAAACAGAGACTTTTATACACTAGCAGAGACTTTTATACACAAACAGAGACTTTTATACACAAACAGAGACTTTTATAGACAAAGAGACTTTTATACACAAACAGAGGCTTTTATACACAAACATAGACTTTTATACACAAACAGAGACTTTTATACACAAACAGAGACTTTTAAACACAAACAGAGCCTTTTATACACAAACAGAGACTTTTATACACAAACAGAGACTTTTATACACAAACAGAGGCTTTTATACACAAACAGAGACTTTTATAGACAAACAGAGACTTTTATACACAAACAGTGGCTTTTATACACAAACAGAGACTTTTATACACAAACAGAGACTTTTATACAAAAACAGAGACTTTTATACAAAAACAGAGACTTTTATACAGAGACATTTATACACAAACAGAGACTTTTATACACAAACAGAGACTTTTATACATAAACAGAGACTTTTATACAGAGACATTTATACACAAACAGAGACTTTTATACACAAACAGAGACTTTTATACAAAAACAGAGACTTTTATACAGAGACATTTATACACAAACAGAGACTTTTATACACAAACAGAGACTTTTATGCACAAACAGAGACTTTTATACACAAACATAGACATTTATACACAGAGACTTTTATACACAAACAGAGACTTTTATACACAAACAGAGACTTTTATACACGAACAGAGACTTTTATACACAAACAGAGACTTTTATACACAAACATAGACTTTTATACACAAACAGAGACTTTTATACACAAACAGAGACTTTTATACACAAACAGAGACTTTTATACACAAACAGAGACTTTTATACACTAGCAGAGACTTTTATACACAAACAGAGACTTTTATACATAAACAGAGACTTTTATACACAGAGACATTTATACACAAACAGAGACTTTTATACACAAACAGAGACATTTATACACAAACAGAGACTTTTATACACAAATAGAGAATTTTATACACAAACAGAGACTTTTCTACACAAACAGAGACTTGTATACACAAACAGAGACTTTTATACACAAACAGAGACTTTTATACACAAACAGAGACATTTATACACAAACAGAGACTTTTATACACAAACAGAGACTTTTATACACAGAGACTTTTATACACAAACAGAGACTTTTATACACAGAGACTTTTATACACAAACAGATAATTTTATACACAAACAGAGACATTTATACACAAAC